CATTGCTGTTCTCCAATCTAATTCATATTTAGCTCACTCATATTATATGCATATATTAGGAAATGAAAGCAACCCTGAAAGGAAGGCAAATAGTTGATGTAGATTTTCCTTTCAGGGACACATGATTATGCAGTAAATAGATTTGCAAAATCAGAATTTATGAATTTTAGCAGAAAATTATCTCCTTTTTTCCTGTAGTTAAAATTGATATAAAGATAATAGCTAGAATGTCTTCAAGTATTAGCTGAAGCCTTCTTCCATGACTGTCTCCTTGCTTCATGCACAATTTAGATGTGTTACAATAATGGTTTATCAATTATCAGTGACAATATGAAGAATAGGAAGTATTTGTATATTTGATATAATTTTGGAGGGCCCCTTATATGTTTAGGTATACTCTTTCTTATCACCAATATTCTTAAAAAGAAATCTCATATTTTCCTGCAATGACTTGGTTTTTGCAGATGAGGCGGACTTCAACCACACTGCCACCCTCCTGTTGATCGAATTCATCCGCCAGAGATTCCAGAGGTTCCTCCTGATACACTCCCGTGCAGCGGTGTACAAGGAGGTGCAGGAGGAACTGTGTTTCAGGGGCTTTTCCTTTACCATCGAGAAGATCAGGAGGAAGTGGAATAACCTGATCACCACGTACCGGAGGATAAAGGAGAAGAACAGCGAAGATCCGAAAGTCAAAATAATGTGGGATTACTTCCAGGTATGGAGGCGGAGGGGCAGTCACGGTTAAAGAAAGGAAATGTAAAATTAATGACGTTTAGGGTCAGGGTAGGCATTTTGTAGTATCTTATCTTCCTTTACCTGAATGAAGAGGAATCTAACCCTTACCTGAAATGTTGAGGAGTTTGTGTGTGTGTGTGTGTGTGTGTGTGTGTGTGTGTGTGTGTGTGTGTGTGTGTGTGTGTGTGTGTGTGTGTGTGTGTGTGTGTGTGTGTGTGTGAGAGAGAGAAGAATAAGCAGTAGATACATACATTAGCTTAAAGATTAGGAATAACCAAGAATAACAGTATTGAGGATAAGATGACTTTTGTTACATTATGTTTTTTATCAATAGACTTTTAGTATTTTGCATTTACTGAGTACTGCACATCTTTTGCAGCTATTGGATGACCTTTTAGGAACAACAGTTCTCACTGTGCCACCAGAATGTGATGTTCAAAGTGGTAATAGCAGTGGCAGTAAAGGTCCTGTATCACCCCAGTCTACCCTCCAAACTGAGGAAGTGCCTCTGACAAAACCAGCCTCCCCAGCAAAGGCATCGGCCCCTTCAAAACTTGCTTCAACACCCACTAAAGCCCATTCTCCAGAGAAGATGGAGGCAGTGAAAAATTCCCAGGTCTTCCGTCCGAATGTCCCTATCAAGTCTGAAGAGAGAGCCGAACCACCAGTTATCCACATAGTGCAGTCTTCAGCAGGTACAACACTCACTGTGCCTCCAAGGTCACCCAGTGCACCCGTGCATAGTGAAAAGACAGTTGTGCTGCAGACCTCAACGCCGAGAGTAGAGAAGGTACAAGTCAATGGCAAGGCGTCTGACCCATCCACAGTGTTCCTCGAATATCAGATTGAGCAAGGGGAGCGGCGATTGGATGTCATGGACGAATATTTTGAGTACATGAAGGAAAGGTTGACAAAGAAAATGGAGTACAAACGGGAGAAAGCCCTAAGGGACAGCAAGAGTATCAAAGTGCTTCGGGAAATTGGAGATGCTTCTGAAAACCTGAAGAAGGGTTTGCTGGAAGTGAAAGGCTCTTGAGGGAATAAAAGCAATTGGAGAGTGTTAGTGGCTGTGTGAGAAATGTGATAATTTTATCTGTTAATGTTGTTCAGTGGTTGTTTTCCAGTGAAATGTAAGTTTATAGATATGTAAAATTTCTAGAGTGGATTTTTCTTATTGATAGTCATCATATAGGTAAATTTTTGCAAAATAAGATTTGCAGTTTTTGAAGCTGAAAAAATCTAGAATCACAAATTGCATAGATAATTATTACATAGAGCAAATCTTCATAAGAAAGACTGTTGATCAGACCACTGTGGTGCCTTCTAAAGACTGACAAACTGTGTTTTTATTTAATTTTCTCATCTCCCTTTTTCAATTAGTGCAGTTCTCATGAAACCTAGTCAGCTAATAAATAAACAGTCTGGTAAATTTCAGTTTAAGACTTATTCTTATTCCTTTATAGATCTGTACCTGATGTTATAGTGTATACATGAGTAAAATCAATAATAGTTTCAGTAGTAATATTAGATAGTTATATCTAGAATAGTTGTTAATCTTTAAGTTTATTTGTTTCAGTAGTGTAATAAATTTAAGAATATTTTTTCAACTAAATTGCTAAGTTAAGATAGATGTAATTCTGATACACTCTTGTTCAATCAGAAAGCAATGCTTCTGAATAAATATATTAGAATTTCACATTTTTCTCATGAACTTTAATGTCCTTATGAATTTGGTATCCTCTTTCATATCATCAGAAATCAAATCACCAGGAGAAAATATTTAATACACAAATCACGGAAACATGTGAAAAGTAACATGCAAATAGAAAGAAAAAAAAACTGGATCAACTATCAATAAATAACTAGACACTATCACAGACACAATTCCTAATTTAGTAGTCACCTGATTTCGAGTTTACTGCTGAACTCCTTACATAAATACTGACTTCTTAAGAGTATATTCCAATAGATTGCTTGAGAGAACATGGTTACAAATTGTAAGGAGAGTAAAACTACACTTCAGCTTAAAAATCAGATTCTGCATAACAGATAGGCAATCAGCTATACGGTGTTTTCTCTTGACAAAGTGTTTATGATTTTTACTTTTTCCATTTTATCAAAAACATTATTGACTATGAAACCCTGAAATGACAAGTGTAAGTTTAACATTCTCGATGATGTTTGTCATACTTTCTTCCATACACACGCAAAAAGAATAAATAAATAAAGCAGTGGTTCCTGTGGGCAGAGGATTAGCAGGGGGCCGCAAGCCTTTGGGAAAACAATGTTGGCTACATTTCGAGGTGGTCGTTAGTGTCCATGTAAAAAATGTCTTCAGGGATTATTGTGAAGAAAAGTTCCACAGAGTGCTGGATATTCTTTTCCTTAGCCTAGAAATACTAAGCTATAAAAAAAATATAAACAGAAAGGTTGATATCGGGAGGGTTACGAAAAGGGGGCGCTAGTGTAGAAGTGATGGGAACCTCTGCAATAGATCACGAAACAATTAGGCAACAAAAAGTATTTTCACACAAAAAATGTCTTCAGGGATTATTGTGAAGAAAAGTTCCACAGAGTGCTGGATATTCTTTTCCTTAGCCTAGAAATACTAAACTATAAAAAAAAATATAAACAGAAAGGTTGATATCGGGAAGGTTACGAAAAGGGGGCGCTAGTGTAGAAATGATGGGAACCTCTGCAATAGATCACGAAACAATTAGGCAACAAAAAGTATTTTCACACAAAAAATGTCTTCAGGGATTATTGTGAAGAAAAGTTCCACAGAGTGCTGGATATTCTTTTCCTTAGCCTAGAAATACTAAACTATAAAAAAAAATATAAACAGAAAGGTTGATATCGGGAGGGTTACGAAAAGGGGGCGCTAGTGTAGAAATGATGGGAACCTCTGCAATAGATCACGAAACAATTAGGCAACAAAAAGTATTTTCACACAAAAAATGTCTTCAGGGATTATTGTGAAGAAAAGTTCCACAGAGTGCTGGATATTCTTTTCCTTAGCCTAGAAATACTAAACTATAAAAAAAAATATAAACAGAAAGGTTGATATCGGGAGGGTTACGAAAAGGGGGCGCTAGTGTAGAAATGATGGGAACCTCTGCAATAGATCACGAAACAATTAGGCAACAAAAAGTATTTTCACACAAAAAATGTCTTCAGGGATTATTGTGAAGAAAAGTTCCACAGAGTGCTGGATATTCTTTTCCTTAGCCTAGAAATACTAAACTATAAAAAAAAATATAAACAGAAAGGTTGATATCGGGAGGGTTACGAAAAGGGGGCGCTAGTGTAGAAATGATGGGAACCTCTGCAATAGATCACGAAACAATTAGGCAACAAAAAGTATTTTCACACAAAAAATGTCTTCAGGGATTATTGTGAAGAAAAGTTCCACAGAGTGCTGGATATTCTTTTCCTTAGCCTAGAAATACTAAACTATAAAAAAAAATATAAACAGAAAGGTTGATATCGGGAGGGTTACGAAAAGGGGGCGCTAGTGTAGAAATGATGGGAACCTCTGCAATAGATCACGAAACAATTAGGCAACAAAAAGTATTTTCACACAAAAAATGTCTTCAGGGATTATTGTGAAGAAAAGTTCCACAGAGTGCTGGATATTCTTTTCCTTAGCCTAGAAATACTAAACTATAAAAAAAAATATAAACAGAAAGGTTGATATCGGGAAGGTTACGAAAAGGGGGCGCTAGTGTAGAAATGATGGGAACCTCTGCAATAGATCACGAAACAATTAGGCAACAAAAAGTATTTTCACACAAAAAATGTCTTCAGGGATTATTGTGAAGAAAAGTTCCACAGAGTGCTGGATATTCTTTTCCTTAGCCTAGAAACTACTAAACTATAAAAAAAAATATAAACAGAAAGGTTGATATCGGGAAGGTTACGAAAAGGGGGCGCTAGTGTAGAAATGATGGGAACCTCTGCAATAGATCACGAAACAATTAGGCAACAAAAAGTATTTTCACACAAAAAATGTCTTCAGGGATTATTGTGAAGAAAAGTTCCACAGAGTGCTGGATATTCTTTTCCTTAGCCTAGAAATACTAAACTATAAAAAAAAATATAAACAGAAAGGTTGATATCGGGAGGGTTACGAAAAGGGGGCGCTAGTGTAGAAATGATGGGAACCTCTGCAATAGATCACGAAACAATTAGGCAACAAAAAGTATTTTCACACAAAAAATGTCTTCAGGGATTATTGTGAAGAAAAGTTCCACAGAGTGCTG